AACTCTTCCATAGCATGAAGAGATAAAGAAATGAAAAAAAATTTAAAAAAAAAACACCAGCTAATGGAATCTGAGCCTTTTCCTACCATTTAGATCAGAAGTAACCAATTAAAATCAGCAGTGTCCGAATAAAGAAAATAATCAAAGGTCCAGAGATTTTTTTTATTCTAATCCGTTACTTTAAACAGAATTTAACACTGAAATAAAATGAGGTGTTTATACATCCATGTTATAGATTGAATTTTAAAATAAAATATTTTAAAAAATATTTTTTTTTTTTCATGTTTAACTCTAAATTGTTTTTGAAGGAGAGAACAACAATCGTTCAGTTGGGAATATATACATTTTCCTGACTCTCTCTTTACTTAATGAGAGCAGTGGGTCATCTTTGAGCGCCATTTCACTTTTCTTTCACCAGTTCACCGCAGTTCTTCCAGCAGTCCACACTTTCTCTATTCTCTTTTTCTCACCGTCTTCTACTTCTTTCCCATCGGGAAAGGTTTGCCTGCTGTGTCTAAAAGTAGCAGCAGCAGCAACCCAGACTGACAGCAGCTCATTGGATCATTTGGGTCCAGATCCGGGCCGCGGCCCACTAATCTTTGACCTCTGGTTTAGAGGGTTTATACAGGAATGATTAATCCTAATTTAATGCTCTTTAATGCCCTTTATCATCTTTACCGTCGATGGGTTGCAGCCATGTCCCAAATTTTCCAGCCACTTTGGTTGAAATTTGCATCTTTCCATTCTGAACGTACCGCTTTACAATCCACTGGAAGCAATTCCATGCAAATATATTGTGATATATCTGATGAAATTGTTTTTTTTTTCTAAATAAAACATTTTAAATGACACGATAATCCCATTTAATGAATTTTGAATGACTTAATGATTTCTAAAGACCCACGGAAACCCTTGTTTAAAAGCTATTACTAAATTATCACTTCTGGATTAAATATGTAGTTCCTTGATGGGTTTTCCCATCAAGGAACTTTCTATGTTTTGTGACCAATAGTTATTCATTCATCTAGATTTCCCTAGATGATCCTATCTCTATAGTTCTGCTGCTATAGGCTTAGACTGCTGGAGGACATAGGGACCCCTTTTTCATCTCTGCAGAATCTGTTAGTTCAATCTCTAACGTTCTGCTCTCTCTGCTTTTTCTCATAGTAGCTTCATCTGGTCTGTTCCTGTTTGGCTGT